TGTGGCAGCGTCACCGAAGCCTCAGCGATCGCGCCGGCGACCTGATCGGCCCCGGGCGGCCGCGGCTCCACTGGCAAGAACTCTCGCTGGACCCATTCCTGCAGGAGCACGGGGACGTCCGCGATCCGCTCGGCGCGGCGCTGGTGGATCTTCGAATCGGCGATGTCCACGCCGCGCCGAGCCTCCTGCAGGATGCTCGCCGAATGGCGCGTCGACGTCGCGGCGAAGTCGGACACGCCTTGGGCAGCCGCGATCACTGCTCCGAGGCTGTTGTCGACCACCCCCCCGCCGAGACCGACGCGCTCGCCGCGGCGCCCATCGTGGCCCCGAGGTGGGCCAGCGGCCCTGCCACGTGCAGCCGCGAAATCAGCCAGGCGGCGATCGCCGCCCACGTCACGCCCCGCGAGGTCGAGCGCCCGCACCACCTCGCGGTGCTCCAGGCCGCGCGCGCCAGCGCCCAGCCGCTGACACCCGCGCGCCGCTGCCCTGCCGCCGCGCCCGCCGCCTGCGGCCGCGACGCCGCCGGCTGCAGCGCCACCGGCGCCGCCGCGCCAAGCTTCGCCGGCGCTGGCGCCTCGGCCACGGCCGCGCCCGCTGCTGCATCCACGGGCTGCGGCGGCCCCGCCATGAGCCCGTCCACCAGCGCGCCCAGGCCCGGCGCTGGCGGCGGCTCTGGCGCCTCCGGCCGCCTCGCCACTGGCGCTGGAGAGGCCGCTCGGCGGCCCCCCGACAGTGGGGCTGGCGGGCGCCAGGGCGCAGGCAGCGCCTTGGTTCCGCCCTGCCCCTTGCGCCAGCCAGACGGCGGCACGCTGGCCGCCCTCGCCCTCGCCGAAGATGCCCTCCGGGAAATAGCGGGGCAGCTTCTCGGCCGCCTCGCGGACGAGCGGTGCGACTCCTCGCTGCTCAGCCTGCGCCGGGACCCTGGGGGCGGTGACAACGCCCACGTAGACGCGGAGGCTGGACTCGGTGAACCACCGCCCTGCCTCCTTGATCTCCCGGAAGGGGATGCCACGAGCCAATGGATCGCTGGCAGAGCCCGCCCGCGCCGAGGGGGGCGCCCAGTGGATGTCGAGGCCCAGGGCTGCTTCAAACTGCCTGAGCGAATCGACGAGCAAGTAGGGAAAGAGGGGGCCCTCGGGCGGTGTGCCCAGGACCACTCGATGCAGGATGTTATCCAGCACTCCGTCTCGCTCCAGTACGATGGCAACCTGCATCCTCTCGGCCTTTGCCTCCGCCTTGGCCCGCAAGTTGATTACCCAATTCGGCTGTAGATCAGGCCCCCCTCTCGACGATGGCAGAGATATATTTTTTTGCGCGTAATTGCAACATTTCTGATGGTCGCAGGCCGCGGTCCACCTGCAGGGGCAGGCCTGCTCCCAGCCGCGGCACGCCCCAGCAAGCAAAGCAGATCGCGGCTAGGTTGGCTGGCGCGCGCCCGAGCGGCGGCGCGTGCTTGACCTCAGCCGCGACTCGCCATGCGACAATCGCCGAATGGGACCGCGCAAGCTTCCTCCTCAGGCGTGGGAAGACGAACTCCACCGCGGCGACGGCATACTCGAAGTTGCACTTGGTCATACGCATGTCATTCTTGTACTCCACCAGCAGGTCGCCCCGCTGCTCGGGCCCGTTGGGAACAAAACCGCGCTCGTCCAAGTAAGTCACAAACTCCAACGCCGCTGCCCTGTAAGCTGCCAGGGTGCGCGGCTTCACCTTCTTAAAAGAAGTGCCGTCCAGCTTTCTCGGCCCCGGCATGAGGTAAGCCGCGCAGCTCAGCACGGTTCAGGCACCTCGATATACTATCGCGTCTCCACCCATGGAATCAAAATCTTTGTGCGAGATGCTATCCCCGCCGCGGTCTTCTGTCGCAACAGGCGGTTCAGCTGGTGCGCAGGGGGGCCTCCCTTTGTTCACGGCGCCTGACTTGGGCTGGTTGTCCTCCAAGATCGGCGGCGCGGTGCGATGGAGGGCGGGCGTGGCGGCCGCCAGCCTACTGATCTTCACGACGCAGCGCCCCTCGCCCAAGGTGATGTGGTCGGCTGATCGCCACCCCCCCTGGCCCACGATCGCCCAGTCCTCGTCGGGCTTGAACGCGCGGTCGGGCAGGAGGCTGAAGGGCTTCGTCCTCCTGATCACCTGCTCCGGGCGCCGCAGGCCAGTCAGCTCGCCGTCCAATCTCGCCGCGGCGCGGCCCAGGCTGCCGCCCGCGTCAATGAAGTCCTGCGCGATCTCCCTGCTCACGTCGGTCACCAGGCCCCCCCGGCCGCCGTCGCCCTCGGCGTTGGCGCCCATGGCGTCCCCAAAGTCCGCGTGCATCAATGGCGCCGCCGTGGCCATGGCCCGTAGCTCCCTACGGACGGTCGCCTAGGTGTTCACCCGCTGGCACGGGTACCTCTCCACTCTCCAAGAGCCGGAAGACCGCGCTGGGGATGCGCAGCACCTCGCGCCTCAGCAGCGCCCCCCAGATCCAGACCCCCATGAGCGAGCGCAGCTCCTCGGTGCACACGGTGCGCGCGGCGCCCATCATGTCCAGCTGCCGCGCCAGTTCCCAGGCCCTCGCCGGCGGCAGCCGAAGTTGCGCTGGCCGCGCCTGCGGCGCATAGCCCAGCACCTTCAGCATGTCGCTGGCCTCGGTGCGGGTGGGGGACCGCGAAGCCCGCCTCGGCCAGGGCGCCCGCCACCCGGTGCGTCGCGCTCGTCGCTCGTGAGCTGCAGTCATTGCCCCCTGCCATCGCCGCGCCGTCGTCGACGCGCAGGTCGAAGGCCATTTTCGCCCCGTCCATCGCAAGCCCACGCCCTCGAAGCACGTCCTCGTTCCGCGCGGCCACGGCGGATGCAGTCGTGCTGCGCGCGCCCCAGGCAGTCGCCGCCACGTCTGCCTCGGGCGGTCGTCGCCGGCCCGAGCCCCCCAAACCGCTCAGCTCGAAGATGGCAAGGGTCTTCGCCACCATGCCCCCCAGCGACTCGCACATCGCCTCAGGGCGCTGCGCGAGGGGGCTCGCGAGGAAGGTCCCGTCGGCCAGCTCGCCCTCGGCGGACTCGTGGACGTGGGAGTCGTCGCACTTCAACTCGCTCAGGTCCTCCAGCCCCTGCAGCGCGCCACTGAGGCAGGTCGGCTTCCGCGCGCGCCCGCCCGGCATGCACTGGCCCAGGCGCGCCCGCTGGGAGGGGCGCCGCCCCTCGAAGTCCAGCATCTCTTCGGCGTTCCAGATGGATGGGTGGGGCTCGTGCCCGGGCCCCCCCGGGCGCTCGACGAGGAAGGCGCCGCCGCTCTGGCCGCCCGCCTCTCAGGGCGCCAACGGGCCCAGCGTCGAAGTGTCAACCCCGCGCCGACGATAATGAAGAGCCCCCCCCCCGTTAACGCGCCAGAGTTGATTATCCACGGCCAAGAAGAGTTTGGACAGGGGCGCGGAGGCCGAACTTCGTTATCACTATGAAAAGTTCGCCATTGAGATTAACTTCCTGCTCATGTTGAGATAGCAGCATCAAGCGAAGCGTTGACGTTTTCGAATCTAATAGGTTTGGAACTTTGGATTGTCTCCTCCTCCTCCTCCTCCTCTTCCTCCTTCTCCCCCCTGGCTATATATATATATATATGTACATCTATATATATATGTGTACATACATACATTTACTATGTAAATATAGCATAATCTCTCTCTCTCTCTCTCTCTCTCTCCATATATATATATATATATCTACCTCTCTCTGTCTGTCTCTGTCTCTCTGTCTTTTCCCTTCCCCCCCTGGCCCCCTGTTTTTCCCCTGCGGTTTACTATCCACGGAAACCGAAGCAAATGAGGCGCCCTACACGAGCAGATGAACATCTCAATTTCCATCGTTTGATTACCAATTAACTTAAATAGGTTTGGAATCTCTCTCCTTCCGTCTGTGTTCTCTCTCTCTCTCTCTCTCTCTCTCTCTCTCTCTCTCTCTCTCTCTTTTTTTTTCTCTCTCTCTCTCTCTCTCTCTGTCGAACTACCAGAATATGTATGTCTCTGTCTCTATATGTTTTCCTCCATCTCCCCCTGGCACCCTGAATGCGTGCGTCGCTGTGGTTTACCACCCACGAAAGCCGATGCGCGTGAACTGCCCTGAACGAGCAGATGACAATCCTAAGTTCCACTGTTCGTTTACTGATGTAATGCAATAGGTTTGGAACTTTGGCATGTCCCCTCCTCCCCCCCATCCCCTCTTTCTCTCTGTCTGTCTATATTTATCTACTTTTTATAGTTTTTCTTCTGTCTCTCTCTCTCTCTCTCTCTCTCTCTCTCTCTCTCACTCACTCACTCTCTCTCTCTCTCGCTAGCTATATGTATCTCTCTCTCTCTCTCTCTCTCTCTCTCTCTCTCTCTCTCTCTCTCCCTATCGCTATCTCTCTCTCTCTCTCTCCTTCTCTCTCTCTCTCTCTCTCTCTCTCTCTCTCTCTCTCTATATATATATATATTTGCCTTCCCCCTTCCCCCCTGGCACCCTGGACTTTTCTATGGCTGTGGCTTGCTATCCACGGAAGCCGAGGCGCGCGAGCTACCCTGCGCGAGCAAGGATGTCAAGGGAAACAAAATGCGTTAGGGGATCATTTTTATGATAAAAAAAGCGCTGACGTCTCAAGCGAACCGAACGATTGCTTTAACATGTCTGAGACGAAACGACCAACGATTGTATAATGTCTCAAGCGAAACGAACAGTAACAATATCCGCAGCCACTTGGTGGCTCAAGATATCGAGCTCTCCAAGATAGTCAGTTGCTCCAAGCCGACAATGGAGCAGCGCGCCGCGCTCGAGAAGTCTCCTCGGCTTTCGGCTCTCTTAACATCATCTCTTTCTCCTCCCACATGGTCCGGTAGGCAACGCTCATAACCCCCCCGCGACCCCGAACTGAATTCATCCCTGTGGGATCATCTCCGGGGCACAAGGTCACTTCCTGCTGCGTCGCCTCGACGTCGACGGCCAGCAAGGGGGCGCATCGCCGCCGTCGCCCGCTCGCCCCCCCTCTTCGCCGCCTTCACAGCCTCGATCCAGTCGGCCACGCTGTAGCCGCCCAGGCTCGGCGGCTCCGCGCGGCAGCTTGACTGCTGCATGATCCAGTCGTCGTCGTAGCGGCGCCGCTGCCCGCGCTCCGGCGCCCCCCCCGCTCTCGCCACGCCCTCCAGCCCCCCGCCCTCGGGCGGCGAGGCGCGCGGCGCGCCGTCAGCAGCGGCGTCGGCGGGTGCCGCGGCACCCTTGGGCGCCGCCAAGCGCGCCCCCACGCCCAGCAGCGCCCTGCCGATGATCGCCGCATTCACCGTCCTCAGCAGATGCACGGAGTGCGAGTCCCCCATGGCCAGCCGGTGGTAGCGCGGTGCCACCCAGCCTGCAGGCGCCACCAGGTCGCGGATCCGCTGGCCCAGCTCCCCCCACACCCAGCAGGCTCGCAGCGGCGGGCACGCCTGCCACTTGGCCATCCAGGCGGGCGCCCGGGGGCGGGTGAAGGCAGTGTCCTCGTCGAAGGACGCCGCGCCCCACTCGTCCGTCGGGGCGCGCATGGAGGCCATCGCCGCCCCGCCGTGCATCCCGTGGCCCCCGCGCTGGCCGCTGCCTCGTCGGGCATTTCTTCGGCGCGCAGCTGAAGCCGCAGTAGGCCTGGGCGACGCGGGGGGTCTCGAGCGTCCACGTATCCTTCGGCAGGTCGCCCCGCATCAGGTAGCGGGCGCACTCCGACGTCGAGCCCCCCACGAACGCGAAACGCTCCTCCAGCTCCTCGAAAATGGCCCCCGACTTGCCGCTGTTGTCGAGGACGCCCCGCTCGTCCGTGTAGCACTGCCGTTCACCGTCTGGCAGCGCCTCCAGCAGATCCACGACCTGGTCGTCAGGCGGCTCGGCCACGGCCGTCGCGCACATCATAAGTTTGCTCGCGCTCTTACGCTCTCCGGTGCAGACGCCCTGCGGCCCCCCGTCGCGAGCGAGCTCCACCCCTTGACCGCCTGTCGGGGCAAGCCCCCGGCAGTCGCGCTCATGCCGCGCCGCCCCCTGCAACGCGCACTGCCGCGCGCGCTTTCAGGCAAGCATCCTCTCGTCGTCGCGCGCTCCTCGCTGGCCCGCCGGTCTCGCCTCCAGGGGTCCGCAGTCCATCCCGCTAATGAGCTCGATGAGCCCGCAGGCCCCGCGCCAGACGCAACTTCGCCGAACCCATCTTGTCGTCGACCTTCCGGAAGAGGTGCATCCTTGTAGTGGCCGAGCTGGTGGAGGAATGGGGGTGAAAGACCTGGCCGCGGCCCCCTTCCACTGCGGGGCCCGCGCGAGCGAGCCGGGCAAACCCGTCGCCGGCACCTCTGGCTGCACCCGCTTCTGCGGGGCGCAGTCACGGACCGAGGGGGGGCCACGGGCCCCTCGGTCCGCCAGCAAACATCACGCCTGCGGCTGGCCCCGGCCCGAGGGTTTGCCCCCTCGGCCGCGGCCGCGCCCCCCGCCTTCGCCCTCCCTGCCTCTGCTGCCTCCTGCTGCGTCGCTGCCGCCGCCTGCGCCTTCGCCAGAGCTGGCGCCTCTGCCGCTGCCCCGGCCCTCGCGCATGTCCGCGACGGCGACCCGCTCGAGCTCGGACTTGCTGTGGGCGGTGGCCCCTGTCACCAGCCAGGTGGGCGCCAGGTCCGCGGCGGACCCTGGCGGGCGCACCGCCGGCATCGCCGCCGCGCCCGCCGCGTCCATAGCCCGCAGCTCATAACCGTACCTCGCCAGCCGTCGCAGGTGCAGCTCGAGCGCATCGTCCGACGCCAGGCGCGTGAGCACCTCCGACTGCGTCCTGCAGCCGCCCAGCAGGTAGTCCACGTTGGTGGCCGCCGTCCACAAGTCGGCCCAGACGGCCGTGCGCCGCTGGCCCGTCACCTCCGGCGACAGCCAGCCCCGCGCGCTCGCCGCGCCCCCTCCTCGCACGGAGCGGTATATCTCCGGCGCCGCCCGCTTCAAGTCCGGGGGGGGGGGCTGAGGTTCCAGCAGCTGTCTTCCTGCTGCTGCGGCGCTGCCGGGGCCCGGGCCCACCCGGGGGCGGCGTGCATGCCCGCTCCGTGCGGGGCCGCGGCCGTCGCCACCAGCGTCTCCAACTCCTGCGGGAGGCTACCGCCGGGGGGCGACTTGGCGCCCGCGCCCACGTAGCCGCGCGTCTGACGACCTACCAGACCACCCCAACCCAACCCGAAGACCCGAATTTCGGGTTGGGGGGGCAAGCAAGGGTTCCACACGTGTTTTTTTTATATGTTTCCCGACCCCCCCCCCAACTGGAAATCGAGGGTAAATCTGAGCCTTCGGGTTGGGTTGGAGTGGTTTGGTGGGTGGTGAGCGTCTGCAGCAGCCGCCTCAAGTCCTGGTGGAAGCCCTGAGATGAGTCCACGGCGGCGATCCTCTCGCAGAAGTGCCAGGCCCATGGGGCAGTGCACGTTCGTCGCCGACTGCGCCTGGAACTCGCTGAGGGTCGCCCGCGCCATCTGCGCCCCCCGCCCTAGCTTCACGGCGTCGGCGGGGGAGTGCGGCACGTGGACCCCGATGGGCTGCGGGCGCCCCTGCCGTGGCGGCGCTCGTGCCACCGAGCTGCTGGGCCGCCGTCTGGCTCAAGGGGCCCGCCACCTCGTCGCCTTGGCACAAAGCCCGCAGGGCCGCCTAAATCCTGGGCCCCAGGCTTCACGGGTGCCGCCCAGGCGCCCGCGCCCTCGGCGGTCGGGGCCCAGGGCGGCGTCGGGAGCGCGGGGGGTCCAGGTGGAGGCGCCGTCGGCCACGCAGGGGACCCCCCGCATTGCCAGCACTGTCGGCGGCCCCGACGTCGAGCCCGTCCCCCCCGCTGCTGAGGACCGCGGCAAACGCCGAGCGGCGCCCCCAGCGGGCCCACCAGGCGGACACGCGCTCGGGCAGTCGGCGCCACAGCAGAAAGCCTCCGCACAACGCTCCTGCGGCTCCGGCCAGGCGGTGTCGCCCCGACTCCGCCAGCATCACGACCAGCCCGCACGCTATGAAGAGCCCGGCGCCGATGTGCAGCATCCAGTCCATGGGCTGCTCGTCGCGCTCCGTCCTCTCCCGTCGCGCGGGCCCAGATCCTGTCTGCTACCCGCTCCCAGCCAGCTTCATCAGCGCCCACTCGTCGTATTCGGCTCTCGGCCTGGGTCCCGAAGGTGGCGGCCCCCGCGAACCCCCAGAGGGCGCCCGCCATCTCGTTGCCCGGGAGCTCGGGGCTCCCCAGTGCCAGGCGGACGGCCACCTGGTCCAGCGCCAGCTCAAGCCGCTTCGCCTCGTCGTTTTTGGACCGCGGCGCCCGCCCGGCGTTGAGCGTGGAGCGGACCTTCAGCACGAGCTCGGCCACGTCGTCCTCCGAGACGTCCGCGCCCGCGCCCCTCAGCGCCTCGGCCCCGGCACGCCTCGCCTGCGCCGAGACTGGCACCACCATCGCCAGGCCAGCCCCAGCAGGCGCGCCACGCGCGCCGCGCCCGGCGCACGGCACACACCGCGCCGCGGCCAGCTGCTCCCTGGGCAGCCCTGCCGCGGCCTCGCACTCGACTTCGTTCCACGGGTGGAGACACGGGCTCCCTCTCAGGGCGCCATCGCCGCGCCCTGCTGCGGGGTGGGCCGCTCGCCCTTTTCCCGCGAGAATCTGAAACGATTGGAGCCATGATACGGTTGCGGAGCAGGCCGTGCGGCACACGCGAGGGCAAGGTCCTTCGGGGGCGAACAGAAAGCAAGCCACCGAGCCCTCCCGTTTTGCGGGGCCAGGGGCGCTAGGCCAGGAACTTGGCCCACAATCCGCACGACCCGACGGGCCCCGCGGCTCCAGACAAGAAAATTCCACGACCCCACCTCAAACTGTCAGGTCCCATATCAATACTCATGCTCTACGATTATTATCCCATGAGCATCATCATCAACATCATCAACATCATCAACATCATCAACATCATCATCATCATCATCATCATCATCATCATCATCATCATCATCATCATCATCATCATCATCATCATCATCAGCAACAGCATCAGCATCAGCATCAGCATCAGCATCAGCATCATCATCATCATCATCATCATCAGCAGCATCATCATCATCATCCTCATTAGCAGCAGCAGCAGCAGCACTGTCCTCCTACTCCTCACTCCGTTCCTCCTCCTCCTCCTCGCTCTGATCCTCCTCCTCCTCCTCCTCCTCCTCCTCCTCCTCCTCCTCCTCCTCGGTTTCCTCCTCCTCCTCCGCCTCGATCTCCTCGCTCACCTCCTCCTCCTCCTCCTCCTCCTCCTCCTTCTCGCTCTCCTCCTGCGCCTCCCTCCACCTCCTCCTCCTCCTCGTCCTGGTTGTCCGTTTCCCTTCCCTCCCACACCTTCTCCTCCACCTCCTCCTCCTCCTCGTTTTCTGTTCTGGTTGCTGCTCCCTCATCCTGCTCCCGCTCCTTCCTACCTCTCCCATCTCCATTTTTCACATCCCTCCTGTCTCCCAAGCAACGTTTTGTCACAGGGCTCTCGCAGCGGTAACCAAGGGACGCAGAAGAGTCCCGCAACGGTGACGGGGAGCCTGAGGATGCCCGGTCTGGCAGCCGATTCCCGAGACCTCCTCACAATTGATTTAGGATGTATTCGGCGTTTCGGCATTGGGCGGGAAGGGAGGGAGGGAGGGGGTCTGGCTCTGGACCTCTGCCTAGTGCGATTGTTTGCAGCAGTGCGTCCTATGGGGGGAGACTCCACCCGCTCGAAACAGGCGCCTAAAAACAGCCAAGATCTACTCCACTTGGGGGGGAAAGGGGGTATGGGGGCTCGCGCCGATCGCCAAAACAATGGATAAGAAAACGGTCACGTTCTCGCCGCAGTGCTGCCTACGTGTTCGAACTAGGCGGCCACGATCCAGAAAAAACACACACACACACACTAAGGTGCACATGGCCGTGCTCCCATGTCTGTCCCAACTGCATGTGTTCATGATCAAAACTTCCCAGCCGTGCTACTCCTACTCCTCGACCCGCATCTTCGCCTTTGCTGCTATCAGGGTGCATTGCTGGGATAATCTTTCTCCTCCCCCCTCGTGTCCGCCTCCTCCACCCTTCCCCTTCCTCCGCCCCCTCCTACTCCGCCACCTCCTCCTCCTCCCCCGCCTCTTCTCCCCTTATCCCCTCCATCCACAAGGTGAGGGCATGCATACGGTTAGGGCATTGGGTGATGGCCCATTACAATCACACTCTTTGCGGACGAGCGGCAGATAACTCCAAACGCGGCCAGATATCGGCAACCGATAAGCAGCAGAGAGCAGCACACGCCCCCCCGCCCAACCGCCCACCAGCGCCAGCCCCGAGGACACGGTCCTTGTCCCGCGCCATGATGAACAGGAGCACCAGCACCCCCTCGCGCGTGGCCTGCGGGCGGCGCCGTCCGCATGGAAGCGCGCGCGGCCGGCTCGTGGGGGGGGGGGGGGCGGGGGAGGAGGGGGGAGGAGGGCAGGGCCTGGACCTTGGCGAGAGAGGAGGGAGGAGGGGATGAGGAGGAAACGGAGGAGGGAAGATGAGGGCTAGGGAAAGAAGAGGACAGGAAAGGAGAGCAGGAGGAAGGTGTGGGTGCGATGGAAGGGGAGGGAGGGGGGGAGGTTGGAAAGGAGGGGGAGGAAGGGGGAAAGGAACAATGGGTAAAGGCGGGGAACGCATGATGGAGGACGGGGAAGGTGATGCGGAGGGGAACCAAGAGGGAGGAAGATGGGGAAGAATGATGAGGACGTGGGGGGGAGATTGAGGACGCAAAAATGAGGGGGGGGAGGAGCAAGGGATGGTGCAGAACAAGTGTTTTTTGTTTGGGTGGCGAAGAGGATACAAAGAAGAAGGAAGAGGAGGAGGATGACGAGGAGGAGGCAGCGAGATCTGTGAAGGGAAGTAGGGATTGAGAGAAGAAGATGAAATAAATCAGGGAATATTGGTGGTGAGGACCATGAGGGCAGCGAAGACTCCGTGGATCTCCGAAACCTTGGACGCCAGCTTGGGAACCCGTCAACTTGGCCAACGCACAACGCACTTGGAAAACCAGCGCCAAGGATGCACCAATCGACAGTAAATCAAGGCAAGCCGACAACTGCTTTTGTCCAAAACAGGCACGGCTCACTCGATCGCAGACCTCCATCTCCTCGATGGTACGATCGACAACCTTGAGCGACGTGATGGCGCTCCAAGAGCCTGTTGACTTCAAGACGTGTGTGCTGCGCCTGCCACAGCAGTAAATTCTGCCCACGCACGCGCGCAGCTGCCATTCTCCATCTGGTTCTCATGCTCCGACTGCCGCTGCAACAATTTCTTCATCATCGCCTCCGTGATGCTTCGGCCTGCTCAGCCGCGAGCTCCATCGTTGTTGGGCTCGCCAGAGGAATGTTTCAAGCGCCTTCTTGGCCAACGCCATCGCCTGCTCCTTCGTGAATGTCGGCGTCGACGTCGACCTGTTGCCGCACTGCAGCTGTGCCCGCGGAGACTCGAGCATAACTACCGGCTGCTGCGTGCCTCGCGCCAGAGTATGCGCTTGGCGCCCACGGTGGCCCCCGCATCTCCAGAAGCCTCCCAATGCGGGGTGCGAATAGGTGGGGGCGGAGGATCGCGCCACATCGTCGATGCGCCGACGGTCCATCGACGACGCGTCAACGACGACGGCGATGCCTCCACGACGTCGGCGTGGAGAAAGCCGGGCTCCACATCGAGGTGCATCCCCGAAGCAGCGGCGACGTGGTGCGATCCGGCGACACCACCCCGCCTATGGAAACCGCGCGTGAACATACATTAAATCCGCCGACCCCTTGGGGTCACGGCGTGTGAGATGCTTCCCCCTCCCCAAACCCCTCCCCCGGGAGCCTGGCCCGGCCGGTTTGGAGGGGGGGGGGGGGGGGGCAAAATTGTCATCATGCCCCACGAGGCCCCAGAAGGCTCCAAGCAGCCCCCACGACGACCCAAGAGAACCCGAGACGCCCAAAGGTCGGCCCAAGACGCCCAGGATGGCCCCAAGACGGCCCCAAAAACCTCCCAGACAGCCACCTTTCAGGGCCACGCACCCTGCAAAATCCTCGCCGGGACCCCCCTTTCCACCGCGCCCCACCACACCTGACACCGCCAGCCTCCTGGAGCCTCTGGGCATCGGTTTTCAGAGCCACACACCCTGCAAAATTCTCGCCGGGACCCCCCCCCCCGCCGCCTTTCCACCGCGCCCCACCACACCTGACACCGCCAGCCTCCTGGAGCCTCTGGGCATCGGTTTTCAGGGCCACACACCCTGCAAAATTCTCGCCGGGACCACCCCCCCCCCGCCGCCTTTCCACCGCGCCCCACCACACCTGACACCGCCAGCCTCCTGGAGCCTCTGGGCATCGGTTTTCAGGGCCACGCACCCTGCAAAATTCTCGCCGGGACCTCCCCCACCACGCCTCCACAGCGCCCCGCGACGCCTGACACCGCCAGCCTCCTGGAGCCTGCGGGCATCGGTTTTCAGGGCCGCACACCCTGGAAAATTCTCGCCGGGACGCTCCCCGCCGCACCTCCACCGCGCCCCACCACGCCTGACACCGCCAGCCCCCTGGAGCCTTTCGGGCATCGGTTTACAATGCCACACACCCCGCAAAGTCCTCGCCGGGACCCCTCCCACCGCGCCTCCACCGTGCTCCCACCACGCCTGACACCGCCAGCCTCCTGGAGCCTCTGGGCATCAATTTTCAATGTGCCGCTGGGGCCTTCGGTGGAGCTCCCTGTGGGGCCACGAACCGTGTGAGGGGTGTGCCTAGGTGGGTGGCGGGCCCCGCGCGCGGACCCTGCCATTGGGGCCTTCGGTGGAGCTCCCTGTGGGGCCACGATCCTCGTGAGGGGTGTGCCTAGATGGATGGCGGGCCCCGCACGCAGACCCTGCCATTGGGGCCTTCGGTGGAGCTCCATGTGGGGCCACGATCCTCGCGAGGGATGTGCCAAAATGAAGGGCGGTCCGAGCCCACCAAGATGGCCGGAGTTGGCTCACAGCTGGCCCAAGACGGCCCAAGAGGCCTCCAAAAGGGCCTCCAGGAAGGCCAGAAAAAGGCCCCAAACACAGATGTTCCATAGGTTTTCTAAGGATTTTGACATTTGCTCGTTTTGGCCTTCCGACGGCCTCCAGCCACCACTACAGTGTTATCACCACCACTGCACCAGAGTAATATTTCGACTTCGATCGCATGTCACGAATACATTACTACTACGGCAATACAGTGCTAGGGTACGGCTACCCTGCTTGAGCACTCCAATGTTAGAGCTCCACTGCAAGTATTGCCCGTATCAGGGTACTACCCGTGCAGTTCTAGAGTACCACGACTGCAGTGCTACAGTCCCGATCCTGTACTACGACTATCACAGTGCCACTGCTACAGCACTACAGTACTATAGTGCTACGGCCGTGCTGCGAGAATACGGCATTTGGCAATTCTTACTACACTACTGTAGTACACTCACTGAAAACAACCGTACAGTACTGCTCATACGAGCAGAGCACTAGAGCCCTGCTTCTACGGCAACACTACTACACTACAGTACAACACGATCCCAAAAGCATGCAACAGCATTGTCTTACAGCGCTACCACTAAACCGTTACAATCCGAGGCTAATACTTCTGCGCTCGACTGCTACAGTCGTGGACTACTTCTACTGCAGCAGGACAGCGCGACTACTGCAGCAAGCACTAAGGACTACAAACTTTACTGCAGGACCTGAGTACACTGCAACTACAGGGCCACTACAGTGCTACCACTTCATTAATGCAATACGACTACTGGCTTAGAACGGTATCAATACAACCAGTACAGTTCTAGACGACCACTACTGCAGCACTACTGCTACAGTCTTGTACCACGTCTATTACAGCGTCACCACCACAGCACTACAGTACTGTAGTACTATGGCAACGCTGCGGTACTACACCATTTGAATACTTCTACGACAGTACAACAGTACAGTCGCTGCAAGCAATCGTAGAGTACTGCTCGAACGAATACTGCACTAGAGTACTACGTCTAAAGTGCCGCTGCTGCAACAATACAGCGCGACTCCCCAATACCACAAATTTTATCACATCGCCCTTCCTACAACACTACCGCTAAACAGCTCGAGCTCGAGGATACGACTACCGTGATCAAGCATTACAGTGGTGGACTACGTGGACTACAGCACGACAGTGCGACTAGTGAAGCAAGCGCTAGACTATAACCTTTACTGCAAGGCCTGCGCGCTACTGCTACTATTACCACTACGATGACTAGTACAGCTACGACTGCAGGACTACTAGAGTGCTGCCACAACATTAATGCAATACGAGTATTGGCTAACACGGTATCGGCGTATCCCAAATACAATACTAGAGTACCACTACTGCAGTACTCTTGTTCGAGTGCTGTTCTACGACTCATACAACGACGCCGCTACAACACAAGAATACTATAATACTACAACGGTGCTGCGATACTCCGGCACTGGAGTAGTTTGCTGCAGCACTGCAGTACAACCACTGCAGGTGAGAGGGGGGGGGGGGGAGAATGGGAGGTCGGGGGGAAGATGGGAGAGGGGGGGGAGGGGGGGGGACAAAACAATAAGACAAGAAAACACAGTCACCATGTGTTTTGGGTTGTTCCCCCCCCCCAGGTTGTAGACCGTTCCCCTTCGGCCGCGACTCTGCGGGGTCGCGACGCAAACGGAAACGCAACTAGATTTTACTGCTAGGCCTGGACACTACTACAACTAGTGCTACTAGTGCTGCTACGACGACTACCACTACAGCTACAACTACAGGGCTACTACAGTGCTGCCAATACAACTATTGGCTAAGCGCGGCATCGACGTATCGCCAACGCAGTGCTAGACTACCACTACTGCATTACTCTTGCCAGAACAGTGTTCTACGACTAGTATAACGCCACCGCTACAGCACCACAGCGCTAGAATACTACAACAGTGCTGCGAAACTGCGGCACTGGAATATTCCTGCTACAGTGCTGTAGCACACCCGCTGCAAGGGAAGGAGGAAGAGGAGGAATGGGAGGTAGGGGGGGGGGGGGCAGGGGGAGGAGGGGGGTGGGGCAACAAAAATGCTGATCCCCCCCATCCAAAAAGCAACCGCCCCCCTTTTGCTGCGAATTCTGCGGGGCGCGCGACGCAAGCGGAAACGCGGCGAGCGTGGGCCGCGACGCAAACGGATTCAAAAACGGCCCAGACAGAACCCCCCCCTTCCCCGCCCCGGCGCCCGGGCCGCGACAAAAACAAAAAAACGGCACCGAACGGCAGGACAACAACTTCAAAAACGCAGGGGGGATTTGGCCCCGTAACCTACGTGTCCACCTTTTCGCGCTGCCCGACGTCCTGAGAAGCGGACACCCCTCTTCCATTCCTCCCCCGAATCTTCGGCGTTCGCGACATCGACGCTGGCCCAAAAAGCCCCCCCCCCAACCGTTCTCAAAAGCTCCCTAAGAGAGCCACCGAGCGCCCAAGACGGCCCAGGAAAACAAGTCGAGCTTTCCGCCGCAAGCTGCTCTCAGTGGACCTCCATCAGCCCCCACAGGGCTCCAAAAAGCAACCTAGAAGCCCCGACAACGGGATCCAAGGGAGCGCATCCTGTTTCCAGGAAGCCCCCCAACAATTCTGACCAAACGGTCTTAGGGAACTGGTGCCGAACATAGCCCTGAGAAGCTTCACGACAGACCCTGATCAAAAATCCTGGCACGCTGCATGGGTGGGCCGACCATTGGATGTTTCGCGGCGTGACAGCCCGCGCGAAGCCTCCTCCTCTCCTCCTCCTCCTCCTTCTCCTCCGCACAATGCGCAACTTTGTCGACCTCGAAGTCTTCCGCGACCTTCGACTGTCGAGAATTTCCCCGAGGTTTCACGCCGTCCGATCCCGTTTTCGGCCCGACACGAGACCACGCGCAATGCCGAAACTTCTTATTGTTCTCCTCCTCTTGCTCCTTTTCCCTCTGTCCTCTTCATCATCCTCCTCCTTATCATCATCATCCTCCATTCCCGTTGCTACCCCTGAAGATCGTAGCCCACCCTCTTCCTCTCTTTCCACGTCCTTCTTCCCGAGACCTCGCTCGGTGTAGCGCCATTGCGGAATCCATCTCCAAAGACTAAGAAACGCCCACAACAACTCCAGACGCCAGAAGAAAATTGAAAGGGTCGGCGGACGTGGCGCAAGCCTGGAGAATCATCATCATCAGCATCTCCCAGAGGCCCCCAAGAGGCCTCCAAGACGCCCCCGCAAGGACCCAAGAGGCCCCAAAGAGGCCTCCAAGGGGCCCCCAAGAAATTCCCAGAGGCCCGACAACGACAGGACTGTACGTGCTCCGGACGTGCACCCCGCGAAGCGAGATTAATCATCATCAGCAGCAGCATCACCATCATCAGCATTAACATCATCAGCGTCAGCATCGCTGGCAGCATAAATACCATCAGTATAGGCATCACCATCATTATAATCATCATCACCACCACCACCACCACCATCATCATCATCATCATCATCATCATCATCATCATCATCATCATCGCCATCACCCTCATCACCCTCATCACCCTCATCATCATCATCATCATCATCATCATCATCATCATCATCATAATCATCATCATCATCATCATCATCATCATCATCATCATCATCATCATCATCATCATCACCATACTCATCGTCATCGTCATCGTTATCGTCATCATCACTATATTTCTCGACAGCTTCATCGTCATCGTCATCATCATCATCAGCATCGTCGTCATCGCCACCGTCAACGTCATCGTCATGATCATGATCATGATGATCATCATCATCATCATCACCATCATCATACACCTCATCATCAATATAGTAATCACCATCGTCATCATCATCGCCCGCATGATCATCACCATTATCATCATCATCATCAGCAGATTCATCATCATCATCATCATCAGCAGATTCATCATCATCATCATCATCATCATCATCATCACCTCAAAGTCCTCCCTTCTACTGCTCTTCGTCCTCCCCCTCCTCTGCCCACATGCTCAAGACCTTTTTTCCTCGGCACAAGCTCTTTCCTCATCTTCAGCCCTCTCCTCCGCGTGGCCGTTCTTCCTCGCAGTGGGGCGGCGGGGAGGGGTGAGGGGTGAGGGGCGAGGGGGAAGAGGGAGAGGGCCGGAGCGGGGACGAAGAGTGAGGGATGAGGGGGAAGGGCGTGGCGGATCAGGGACGGCAGAGGCTGGGAGCGAGGATGGAGGTCAGCGAGGAATATGCTGAGCGACAGGAGAGAGCCGTGGCCTACAGAGGCCAGTCGGAGGAAGAGGGGGGGGGAGCGGGGCGGGCGCGGCGGCGGACCGAGGGCGGTCCTGCTGGCCGCGAGGTGGGGCGGGGAGGGGCGGCGGGAGGCGGGCGGCAGCGGGACCTCGTTCCGTCCTGCTCCCGCCTCCTGCGCCCTCTCTGCCTCGTCCTCGTCCTCCCCAGCGTGTTCGCCTTCTCCCCCCTCCCTTCTCGGCTTTTCCCTGCTTCTCCCGCTGCCCGCTGGCTCCCTGGCCCTGCCTCCTCACCCCGTCGCCTTCCTCCTGACCCCTCCTCTGTCGCCTCCCCCTCTCCCGCAGACAGCCCTTCCTAGCTCCCCACCTTATTCCCCTGATGCTCCTCCTCCTCCTCCTCCTCAGCCCTCTGATGTATCCCCCCTCCTTCGTTCTCAATACCTTCCTCCTCCCACCACGACGACGTCCATTGGCGTCCACCCACAAAGACGATGTCGGCGGCCTTGTCGGAGCAGTCGTCAGTGGACAGGAGGTCCTGCCCAAACTTCTTGTGCTCCTGGCCGGCTCAACACGCATCCAAGAGCGACTCGCTCCCCCATCCTGCTACAGCAGGGGGGGAGGGGAGGTGGAGGAGTGAACGCGTCGGAACGACTTGGCAAACACGGCGTGCTGGAGAAAGGAGGGGGAAGATGCAGAGGAAGGAGGGGAGTTAAGATTTATGATTCGGAGGGAGAGCGAGGAGATATGAAAACAGAGAGGGGGGGGGCATGAAGAGGGGCATCAGGAGCAGGACGAGGCGGAGAAGATTATCACCCTCCCAAATGCCACTACCCCTGCTTATGGTAGGTTCGCGCGGCGCGGGCGCGCGCAAATATTTTGGACACCGCACCGTTCGTTCCGAGAAATTACGCTCCGTCGGGAAGTGTGGCGCTACCGTTTCCCTCGGAGCTTCTGCGTCGCCGTGTTCAATTCAACCTGTGGACACACAAGGCGCCTCAGGAAGAGCGCCGCCCTGGAGGGATCGACGGGCTGGCCGACATGGCGCCCTCGGCGGGAGCTGGCGGAAGGCCGGCAGAAGCCAAACGAGGGCGGCTCCGCTGGCAGAAGCACACGAGCTTGAGCATAGCAAGTACCGGCGACACGCTATGCCCTGGAAGTGGACAGCATGTCGCTCCGCTCCGCGGGGCTTGGAACAGTTCGGGACGTTGACGCTTGGGAAGAGGGACGCGGATAGAATCACGGTGGGCAAAATTCTGGACTATATGTACACCCACTCAAGGTCAACGTTTTGTTATGAAACAATTCTGGACAAGACCGTGCGATGCCGCGCTCGATCGGGAAACCAGCTCTGGCGAATGGTGAGGTTGCTGAACAATCTCTATAAATCTGGGGTGGCAGACAGGTCCGTGCTCCTCACCTGCGCAGACTCCTCCCCCATTCGGTCCAAGATCTTCTCGGCCATCTTTCCCAACAACATCGCGGCCTTGTCACGCACTACCTGGCGCCGGCCACGCCCCAACCAGAGTGCTTGCAATTACCCCTCGGCCCCTCGCTGACGGAATCGAAAGGGGAGGAGGGAAGGGCTCTAGCCTAAATCATAGTTGACTGGTGATTATTTGCAGGATGGCCCTGAGCAGGCATGCTAATCTCGACAAGACTCGCGCTTGAGACAACCTCCAGGACACGTTCCCTCCAGGTTGGAGGCGGCAAGGGTTCTGAGATGGATGGGCCCCGAGAAACCCGGTCAGGAGGAGGAATGAAGCCAAATCCGTTCAAAACGTGTCCCGGGAACCCTCCCCAAATCCGCCGATCCGGCGTGTGAGTTTCTGAGAGCGTGGTCTTGAGCTCGCTCAAGCTTCGCTCTGCAAGGGTGGGGGGAGGGACGCCATTTCCGACGCCAGAGGGGGGGGATTCGCTACTCGGGAGCCGTGGACAGGGGGGGGGATGCCAATCCTCGGGGCCCGGGGGGTGTTCGCTGCTCGGGAGCCGTGGACAGAGGGGGGGGGGCACGAAATTTCCTACACCAGTCAGTGCTCGGGGCCAGGATGGGGGGATTCGTTACTCAGGAGCCGTGGACACGGGGGGTGGACGCCATTTCCGACGCCATTCAGTGCTCGGGACCCACGGGGTTCGCTGCTCGGGAGCCGTGGACAAGGGAAAGGGGGGGACGCCATTTCGGACGCCGTTTCCAGAGCCATTCAGCGCGCAGGACCCAGGGATAGGGTTCACAGCTCGGGAGCCGTGGACAGGGGGTGGCGCCATTCCCGACGCCATTCAATGCTCGGGACCTGGAGGGGGGGGGGTCGCTGCTCGGGAGCCGTGGACAGGAGGGGGGGGAGGGTACGCCATTTCCGACGCCATTCAGTGCTCGGTGCTCGGGACCCGGCTTCGCTGCTCGGGAGCCGTGGACAAGGGAAGGGGGGCAGTGCTCGGGACCCGAGGGGGGGGGGGGGGGGTCGCTGCTTGGGGGCCGTGGACAGGGTGAGGGGGGGACGCCATTTCCGACTCCATATGGTGCTCGGGACCCCAGGGGGTGTTCGCTGCTCGGCAGCCGTGGACAAGCCGGGGGGGGGGGAGGACGCCAGTTCCGACGCCACTCAGTGCGCAAGACCCAGGGATAGGGTTCGCTGTTCGGGAGCCGTGGACATTGTCCACGGCGCCCTCCCCCCCTTGCCAAAGGGGGTGGGGCGCCGTTTCCGACGCCAGTCGGCGCTCGGGACCCGGGAGGGGGTCGCTGCTCGGGAACCGTGGACAAGGGGGGGGGGGCACGCCATTTCCGACGCCATTCAGTGCTCGGGACTCTGGGGGGGTTTGCTGCTTGCGCCCTTTCCGATGCCATTCAGTGCTCGGGACCCAGGAAGGGGTTCGCTGGTCGGGGGCCGTGGACAGGGGGGGGGGGGGGGCATTTCCGACGCCGTTCAGTGCTCGGGACCCGGGGGGGACGTTCGCTGCTCGGGAGCAGTGGACAAGGGGGGGGGGGGGCACGCCATTTCCGACGCCATTCAGTGCTCGGGACACGGGGGATATTCGCTGCTCGGGAGCCGTGGACAAGGAAAGGGAGGGGGGGGCGTCATTTCCGGCGCCATTCAGTACTCGGGAACTGGGGGGGGGTCGGTCTGCAGCGGGGGGGGGCGCCATTCCCGACGCCATTCAATGCTCGGCAACGGGAAGTGTGTTATCTCTGCAGGAGAGGGGCGGGGGCTCGCCATTCCCAACGCCACTCCTTGTTCAAGAACGGGAGGGGAAGGGGGGGCGCTCTGCAGAGGGAAGGGGGAGGGGGGGACGCCATTCTCGCCGCCACGCAGTGCAGTGCAGCGGCTCCAAGACGCCCCCAGGAGGCCCCAACAGGCCCCCGAAAAGCCCACAAGAGAATCCATGATGCCCTCAAGAGGCCCAAGATGTCCCAAAACGAGCCCCAAGACGCTTCCCGAGGTCCGTTGCTCAATCCCCTGAGCCTCAGTCCTCAAGCCAGTGGATCCTTCGTGGGCTCGGGCCCCAAACCTTTCAAGTCTCTCGGGCCTCTCCGCGCGCCCTCTGGGGCACCCGGAATACCCGCGCAGACCTTTGCCCAGCCCGAGGAGGGCCCAAGACGGGCCAGCAGGGCCCGAAGAGGCCTTCAGCACGACCCACAACGGCCCCGGATCATTGAAATATCGGTCCGAGACGCACAAGATGGCCCGAGTACGGCCCGACTAGTTTTCGAGACTCCCGAAGAGCCCCACGACCTCCCCAAGAAAGCTCCGATAGTAGGCAAGAATCCTCCACTGTCTCTTAACTGTTCTATGTGTGCGGCCAAGGAGTTATTTCCTTTCACGCTCCCGACGCTCTCTGCTCTCACTTTGACGTCCTCCCGCCGCGCCCCTCGTCGATGGCAACAACCGCAGCGGCAGCGACAATTGCGATGGTAACACAGCACAGGCTCACACGGACCAGTGACCAGTGACCACCCTGCGGACGGCAAGAGAGCTTCGAATGCGCGAAGGAAGCCCGCCGTAGGAACAATCGAAAAGTTCGGGAGAGAAAAGGCGATGGGTGGACCAGGAAACTCGGCATGGCAGACTCCTGACACCCAGCGGCTCGATTTCGGAACGTGGACCACTGGACCTCTCGACCGCTTCCCCAGGGTCGTCATTGGAGACCCCCCCCCGAATCGAGCAAAAAAACAAACCGAGGAAAAACCCAAACCGAGTAAACACCAAAACAGAGAAAACAAAAAACACCGAGGAACAACCCAAACCCAAGAAATAGCCAAAACGAGGAACAAGCCAAAACGAGGATACCACCGACAAAAAGGAGAAAACAACAATCCTGTGATACAGAAGGGACACGAAGCGAGGAAACACACGCACACACACACACTAGGACGAAAAGAGGAAACTCACTCAGGACAAAACAAGCCGAGGAAAACACCACACCGAATGGGATAAACAAAGAACATGCAACCACATCATAGATCAGCCTCTCTCTCTCTATCTCTCTGTGCGTTGTCCTTCCTCCTCCTATCTCTTGCCCTGTGGTTGATACTATCTCCCTCGCTCTCTCGTTATCACTATGTCTCTCTCTTTCTCTCTCTGTCCCGCTCTCTTTCTATTTCCCCTCTTTCACTCCCTCTCTCTTTAACAAGCAATGGATGTCGCTCCGTCCCTCTCTCTCTCTCTCTTTGTTTGCCTCTCTCTATCTCTCTCTTTCTCTTCCTCTCTTGCTCTCTCTGACTCACTCTCGCTCTAGCTCTCCCTCTCTCTTTCTCGTCTCTCTTTCTCCCTGACTCTCTCTCTGACTCTCTCTCTCCCTCTCTCTCTGACTCTCTCTCTGTCTCTCTCTCAGGCTTTCTCTCACACTCTATCTCTCTGACTCTCTCTCTCTGTCTCCCTCTCTGTGGCTCTCTCTCTCTGGCTCTCTCTCTAGCTCTCCCTCTCTCTCTAACTCTATCTCCCTGACTCCCTAACTGACTCTCTCTCTCCCTCTCTCGCTGTCTCTGTCTGACTCTCTCTCAGGCTCTGACTCTCTCTCTCTGGCTCTCTCTCTCTCGCTCTCTCTGACTCTCTCTCTATCTCTCTCTCTCAGGCTTTCTCTCACACTCTATCTCTCTGACTCTCTCTCTGCCTCCCTCTCTGTGGCTCTCTCTCTCTGGCTCTCTCTCTAGCTCTCCCTCTCTCTCTAACTCTATCTCCCTGACTCCCTAATTGACTCTCTCTCTCTCCCTCTCTCGCTCTCTCTGTCTGACTCTCTCTCAGGCTCTGTCTCTCTCTCTCTCTCTCTCTGGCTCTCTCTCTCTCTCTCTCTCTGACTCTCTCTCTCTCTCTGACTCTCTCTCTCTCTCTCTCTGGCTCTCTCTGTCTCACTCTCTCTCTCTCTGACTCCTTCTCTGACTCTCTCTCTGACTCTCTCTCTGAATATATGTCGATTCTCTTTCTCTCTCTGACTCTCTTCTATCTCTGACTCTCTCTCTCTCTCTCTGATTCTCTCTCTCTGACAATCTCTTTCTCTCTGACTCTTTCTCTGACTCTGTCTCTCTCTCTCTCTCTCTCCCACACACGCACACACGAACACACGCACACACGCACACACACGCACACACGCACACACACACACACACACGCACGCACACACACACACACACACGCACACACGCACGCACAAACGAACACACGCACACACGCACGCACGCACGCACGCACGCACGCACGCACACGCACGCACGCACACACACACAAACGCACGCACCACGCACGCACGCACGCACGCGCACACACACGCACGCACACGCACGCACGCACACACACGCACGACACACGCACACACACACCACACACGCACACACGCACGCACACACGCACGCACACACGCACACGCACGCACACGCGCGCACGCACGCACGCACGCATGCACGCACGCACGCACGCACGCACGCGCACACAAACACAACACACACACACACACACTTACACACACTTACACACACTTACACACACACACGCGCACACACGCACCACGCACACGCACGCACGTACGCACGCACGCACACACACACACACGCACGACGCACGCACGCACGCACACACGCCACCCCCACACACACGAAGAAAAAACACACGCACGCACGCAAGCACGCACGCACGCATGCACGCACGCACACACGCGCACCGCACGCACGCACGCACGCACGCACGCACGCACGCACGCACGCACGCACGCACGTACACACACACACACCCACACAACGCACGCACGACGCACTCACGCACGCACGCACGCATCAACGCAGCCACGCACGCAGCATGCACATGCACGCACACACGCACACCCGCCACACACGCACACACCACACCACACACACGAACGCACGCACGCACGCACGCCACGCACGCACACACACACACACATACACACACACGCACACACACACGCCACACACGCAACACAACACACAATACGCACGCACGCACGCGCGCACGGCACGCACGGCACGCACGCATGCACGCACGCACGCACGCACGC